AAATGTATTATTATTATTATTTTACATGAAAACAGACCTTTGTGCAAATATTCACACTAAATTAGGAACTTAAACAGCAGACAGTGTGAATATCTGTTCATTAGAGAAGTTGTGGTGAATATTTAGATGTTTTCTGATCTGACTGTTTTATTTTCCTTTAAAGCTCTACGACAATTTCATCAGTGACTTTGAACACAGGTGAGATAAACGTCTACTCGTCCAACACCTTTCCTCTTCCACCTGTCCCGATGCTGATTCATTATTCCCGCTCTCTTCTCAGAATCAACCCGCTGTCCCTCATGGAGATCATTCTGTACGTCGCCAGACAGATGCAAGGTGAGAACAACGTGCCGCAGCAGGGAAACATTGCTGAGCACAAAACACTTTTGTTGTGTTTACAAAACTGTTTGTGTTTACAGATCCGAAAGATGCCATCACCTTCCTGGAGAAGACCAGGGAAAAGGTACGTTTACCGAACGCTGAGCTGCACTTCACCCGATCTGATGCAGTCTAACACAATAATAATGCAATAAATCCCTTCATGAAGGCTGTAAAGTTCTAATTGAGCTGTTGTCTCCTGCTGCTGTTGGATTGTGTTCATTATTGTGTCCGTCTGGTTCAGGTGAAAAGCAACGACGAGGCCATCATTCTCTGCAAGACGTCTATCGGCAGTCTGAAACTGGAGATCAACGATCTTCCTGCCACGAAGGTAAAACCTCAGCGACTCTCTGCTTCCTCCCCCCGTTTCTCTTTAGCTGCTGACACGAACCTCACGCCTCGCTCACATGAGACGAGCTTCAGCACGTTTGGATCACGGAGCTGCCGGCGATGTTCACACGTGATGTGACGCCAGCAGCTGTTAGGTAGAGCTCCTCATGTCGAGTGGAGTCGGATCGGTGTCGGTGTGAATGAATGAGCACAGGAGGGACTCACCCGTGTATTCTGGGATTTAAATAAACGCAACAAACAGTAAACAACAATAAAAGTGTTTTTTAGTAGCGGATGTTAAACTGCTCGATCCTCTGACCTAAATGGTGTCAGTAACCACATTCTGCCTCGTCGCTCTTCCAGAAACTCATCGAGGAGGTCGAGGAGATGTTGAATAACTTGCCCGGGGTGACGTCGGTCCACGGCCGCTTCTACGACCTCTCGAGCAAATACTACCGCATCATCGGGAACCACGCCTCCTACTACAAGGACGCCCTGCGCTACCTCGGATGTGTGGACATTAAAGACCTTCCAGGTGGGTGAGGGCATGCTGGGAAACAAACACTCGGACTTCACAGGCTTTTTTTTTTTTTGGATTGTCGAGGCCTAAAAGGATTGTACGGCAGCTTTTGTATAAAGCTTTAAAAACAAAACACATACGATGAAATATAAATAACAGTTAAAATACGAGGATAAAGGAAAATAAAAGTCCAGCATCACGAAGGCTTTCCTGTAAAGATACGTTTTGAGCAGAGATTTAAAATCGAATACATTTAATCTCCTCAGGCAGCAGTTTCCAGAACTTACGGGCCCTGATGGCAAAAGTCCAGTTAATGTATAATTCATTAAAAATCAAAGGCGAGAATTAAACTGCTGGTAGTCTGGAGACGTATGGCTCTACACTTTATTCTGGGGACGACAACGATTAGAGAAACTCACAGGAAACTACAATGACTGGACACATTTGCACATTTACAGGGGTTGAATTTGCTTTATTGTTAGGATGGAAAGATATTAACGAGCACATTACTGAATGTTTGCTCCACAGAGACGGAGAAGCAGGAGAGGGCGTTCACACTGGGACTGGCGGGACTCCTGGGAGAAGGAGTTTACAACTTCGGAGAGCTGGTGGGATATTGTCATACGTCGTTTATCTCGGCCAGACTTCCAGCCGAAGCTTGTTGATAATGACCACATCTGTTGTTTTGTGTCTGCAGCTGATGCATCCTGTGCTGGAGACCCTGAGGAACACGGACAAACAGTGGCTCATTGATACACTATACGCCTTCAATGGAGGCAATGTGGAGAAGTTCCAGGGCTTCAAGTCTGCCTGGGGCCAACAGGTGATTCATGTTTGTTCATTTATTACAGTTCAACGTATACGGAGACACGTGAGGCTCAGGTCACCTGAACAGCATGAAAGCACCAAATCTGGCTTTAAGAAGAAATGAATTCTCCTTTTCTGCTTTAATTTGTCGTCTTTGTCGCGTTGAATGTTGAGATTCGCCTGCTTTAGCTCTTCCTGGATATCTATTGGGTCAGTAGCAGCTCAATAATAGATTACTGCCCTAAATCAACCCCAGTTATGATAAATAAAGAAATAAGATATGAAAAAGTTTAACCCACTTTCTGTAATTGGTGAGAACTTTGTGGAGTTCATACATGAGTGAGTACAGAGTTTAACTTCAGCACTGGAGAAGGTGTATGGTCTTTAATAATCTCAAGATCTGGAGATCACCTGTACCTGATCACTGTCTGATGGATTTCTCTCTCTTGTAGCCTGATCTTGCCACACATGAAGCTAAACTGATGCAGAAGATCCAGCTGCTGTGCGTGATGGAGGTGAGACTCACAACGGGAGCTTTAACATTAAAACCGTGCTCACAGCAGCATCGGAAACGAGGACCTTTCACAATAAAGTCCATTCATTTGAGTGGAAACAGTCGGTGCATTCACTCTCAGAGAGGAAATGAATCTGTGCAGAGTTTTTGTGTAGAATTGAACTTTAACACATTTGTGTTGATGGTCGGTGAGGAAAAACTGTTACCTGAGCCACTAATGGAGACCTGGAAGAGGAGAGTGTACACAGAGAAAGAAATCAGCAAAATATACCTAATATATACAACATCTGATAATAAATAAATGCAGGTGTATGTGAATAATCTCCTCCAGTATAAACTGCTCCACATTATTAAAAACATGACGCTATGACGCACGGTTTGTGTGGGAATGATGATTTGTGCATCATAAAGTTAATTTTCTCTTTTAAAAAACCAATTTAAATCATGATGATAGACGATAAACATGTTTTCCTACATCTGAAGAACAAGATGTGTTGACCCTCTTCAGAACTGCAGTATTTTATTATGATGCTGTTTTGTCATATTTGCATATTGTACATGGCAATATTGTGATTTCAGTCATATTTCCATTCATTGTTCAGCCCCAGGGTACGTTGGTGTTCAGTGTATCTCAATATCGACAGTATACCTGCAGATTTTCTTTCTTTTATTTGTTCTCTGAGCACAAGATGTGATAGATTACTGCATTTTATTAGTCTCCGTCCCACCACACATTATTTAACTCCTTCAGCAGCTCTTGTTCCCTTTTTAGCTTTAATTGTGCCCCTATGTTTTAGAAATGAATGCTCTTTAGTAGATTTAAAGAAAGGTGATCGACAGTGTTTTCTGACTGAAAGGAATCTCATGAACCTTTCAGAGCCGCCAACAAACCGAAGCTGTAGAAGGTTTAAAAAGTCTGCTGTTGACAGTTTATATGTGACTGTCACAGATTATTAAATCAATTAAAAAGTCTCCTTTCTCTTCCAGATGACTTTCACTCGTCCTGCGAACCACAGACAGCTCACCTTCACCGAGATCGCTCAGAGTGCCAAGATCCCCGTTAACGAGGTCAGTCGGATGACGAGTGGATTCAATCGGCCCGTTAATGATCAAGTTTGATTGGTTTGAGTTTTACTGTACAGAGGATGATGGACTGAAGCAGATCTGATGCTCTGTGTGTTTGTCTCCTGCAGGTGGAGCTGCTGGTGATGAAGGCTCTGTCCGTGGGTCTGATCAAAGGGAACATTGATGAGGTGGACCAGAAGGTGCAGATGACCTGGGTGCAGCCCAGAGTGCTGGACCTGCAGCAGGTTGGTCCTCGCTGTGTTTCTCTCACATCACAACAGAAGCATTTAGTTTCTCCTGGAGGAAACTGGTGTGAGTGCAGCTACAATAGAGTAATGCAGAGAGAAATACAATAAGGAAGACATCAGGGTTTGTTTTGGGATGGATTTATTCATTTCACTGGCTAATAAATGGCTTTTTTTGCTTTATTTGTAAGATGTTTTAGTTTATTTTTAGCTGTTTTCACCAGATAAATTACCGGTCACAAGTCCTTTTTAATTCCTAAACATAGTTTATAGCAATGGTAGATCTGTGAAAATGCTGTGGACAGAGAGCGGTTACTTCACTCACAGCAGGGAAAGGATCAGAACCTAAAGCAGCTACCAAAAACTACGAACAAATCAACAAAACCAAAAGTTGATTCAGCGGGTTTAAGAAGGAAAACCAACAGCTGATCTCTGCAGAAATAAACAAACCAACAAACAGCAGCATTGGATCAGAAGTGTTTGACTGTTTTTCACTCGCCTGTTGTTTCAGATCAAAGGTATGAAGGAGCGTTTGGACTTCTGGTGCGGCGACGTGAAGAACATGGCGATGCTGGTGGAGCAGCAGGCCCACGACATCCTCACCTAAAGCTCTCGGCCCCGCAGAGGGAAACCACCTCTTCACAACCGTTTTGTATTTGTTTCTCTTTCTATCGGATGTTCTCTCTTCTGTTGCCGTCACTGTTTATTACCAACTTGTAAATTACGCTGTGGTATTTTACAAATAAACAAGTTGGTTGTAACATTATTATCCTCAACGTATGGACCGAAAACATTCTCTGAAATATGAATAAAAATGGAAAAAGCCTAACCTGTTAGTGTGTTTTATTTCTCTTTCTTTTCTCCTTTGTTCAGCTTTAGTTTTTAATGAACATTTATTTTAGTTTCTGTTTCTTTCATAAATGTTAGCATTGATGTCAAATCACAGTGGGGGTCACCAAAGCTTAACGGGGGTCGCAAAGTCGTCTTGATTTCAAGGCTTTAAGAATATACACTGTGTTTATATCTCACTGTCCTGCAGTGAAACAAGTACACAGTTATAACAACCAAAGAACTGATAGAACAATGAGAAGAAAGCTAAGAATTTGCCAAAAAGAAAGTCCTATTAATTCTGTATGATTGTTAAAAAGTAGAAAAAATACATAAAACAGACAGAAGTGTACAAAAAAATAACACAAACTTCCTGCAGTTATTGTGTTGACTTTTCACAGTTCATCAGTGGTTCTCTACTGTTTTTATTATGCACTAAATATTATATGAAGTATCCATAAAATGTTGTTTTAAGTTTAGTCTATGATAGAAAAAAGGAAACAGTCTGGGAACCACAGGGTTAGATAAAAACCAGCATCGTGAAAGCATCACTTTGGGTTCTGGTTAATTGTGACGGCATTTTTCACCAAACAATCAATTAATGGACAAAATAATGAGCAGATTAGTTCGTAATGAAAATAATGTTTACACTCGTCCTGAAAAAAAACTACTACATTTCAACCCATGGAAACACCTGGAAATTGATTCAAATGATCAAATATTCTGGAAATAATAAATGTTGGTACATAAACCTGGGAGTTTATTTTATTCGTAACTCGGCAGTTAGAAGGATAAACTGTACGAGTCTTCAAAGCAAGTTCACCAGGAGCAAAGTGGAACTGACTCACAGGGATCTGTTCGGGATGGACTCTTATCTCCATTAATACGTCCAATTAATGATCATATTTCTTGTTGCTGTGGTTGATAAATACATTCACAGTGATGTTAACTGTACGTGCAATGAACACTTTAATTTTCTAGTAGATACATTTTTCCGTAAAATAAAATAAGCTTATATGTAGGGAAAAACTTCTGGAAAGAGCGGGAACCCTGAAATAATGAGCTCCACCTCAACCAACTTTACATTTTTAAGTATATTTTCCTGCTTTTACTTAAATAACATTTAAAATAAATGTAATTTATATAAAATAAACAGGACTTTCACAGGTATTTTGAGTGTTTGGGTGTTCGGACTTTCAAAGGATCTGAATTCTTCCTCCGTGAACGGACTTTTAATGACACAGCTGCTGGCAATGAGGAGACTAATGTGAAGGTAAATGTCAGCAGCTTTCTGAGACACAGTGGAGCTTTTTGCTGGTGTTTTGCAGGTATTAACTATGTTCGCCATCATCCATTTTAACATCTAACATTTGCTAACTTCCATTCAAAGTAAACCAAAGTGCTAACATTAAAACTGGAGTACGGCTAACTGGAGACGTAAATCTCCGAAGTGATGCAGTTAGCATGGCTAAACAAGTCTGTAACATTAGCTTTTACAATATATCACAGTGCTAAAATGTGAAGAGTAATGTCAGCTAGTAAACATAGCATTGAACAATTTATCAGGTTGTGCAGGTTTTTTTTTGTTATAATATTTCGTATAAACTTTCTTCGAAATGTGAAATGTTTTATTTCAGGAAACTCAGATGTGTCTGTGGTTGGATTTCCTCTCAACAGTGGTTCCCAAACTGGAGGTCAGGACCCCAAATAGCCTCATGAGGGGGTCGCGAGGACTTCTTGATTTTAAGGTTTGTAAGACAATTTTAAAAATATACACAGTAGTAAAAGTAGAGTAAATTGTCTAATAAAAAAATGTCAACACTGAATTTGTCAAAAAAGAAACATATTAAGACTTTATGATTGTTAGAAATGATAAACAAATAAATAATACAGACAGAAATCTATACAAAGTTCCATAAACAGGAAATAATCTGCGCCAAATTCATCCAGATCACTCGTTTAACACAAACTTCCTGCAGTTACGGAGTTCAATATTCCGGTTCAGTTTGGAATATAATATCAAATATAGAGTAGAATAAAATAAAGTATGTCACTGAGTCAGTTTATTAAATGATAGAACGATAGATCCCGTATAGAAAAAGGTTGGGAACCAGTAGTTTACAGCACCAGACTCTCAGCTGAGGGCCGATGGATCCACTGCTCAGGAAACAGTTAGCGTACGGTTTGCTCACTTTACCACAGCTGTTCACTGATCTCACTGCACGAATTCAGTTTACAGTAACGGCGGCAGGTTTAACTCTGAAATTTGAAGTAATTCTTTAAGACGCATTTTACAGGAATTTAAAACGCTTTATCTGGAAACATTAAAGTCGGGCAGAAATAAAGCCTTTAACCAAATCTTGATGCTAACATTAGCTGAGTCAGCCAGCCTGTTACAGCCGATAAAATACCTGCGTACTTTCTACAAACGCTGCAGTTGGAAGAGAGAGAGCCGGGCAGAGGGGTTGTTCAGGTGAATATCTCTGTCTAGTCTTCCTGATTCATTGATCTTTATTCCTCGTGGCTCCGACCACGGCTCTGAAATATCTCTGTGATAAATCCGTGGCGCTGAAGCAGCAGACGGATTGGTAATTGTAATCTGTCTTGGATCTATAATAATTAATAATATAAATTCATTTTATTTACATAGCGCTTTTAAAAACAGCATTTACAGTCCCAAAAGACAGAAGAGTCAACAATAAAAACAATAGTGAACAATAAAAGCCACATAAAAACAATGCATACTGGTAGAGGCAGACAATATAACAGCAGTTAGAGTAAAGCAGATACTCATCAACAATAAAAAATGTGTCTTCTGCATATGATGATCAATAAACTGAAATAGAAATCCTAAACTATACAGCATTACAGCACTGACCGAGGACAGTTAGACTTATATATTAATAATAATATAAAGTCAACTTAAAACTGCAGTTGGTAACTTTTATGGAACGAAAGATGGAAAGATGCTTTGGGTTGGACACTTGAAGATAGTTGATTGTTGTCTCATTCCCAGCATCAGTATCTGACAATCTGCGAATGAGACTCAACCGTAAACTATCTTTAGTTTTCGTTCGTTCGTTAGGAGCGTTAGGAAGAGCCAGAGGAAGCTTATTATTTCACAGATTATCTGTCTCATGAACTAATGTCAGGATAAAGTCAAAGTTACAGAAAATATTCACTATTACAGCTTTAAATAAAGTGAGTTAATGGAATAAACTGGAATTATATCGCCTGGATTTAAAATACTGCTCAAAACAGCTTTTTTTAGAGGATTAATTTATGTTAACTTACTTATTTTATTAAGACGTGTTATCAGGTTTTACAGTGTTATAAGAGAAAAGCCTTTAAGATTAACTGAAGTGAGTTTGAAACTTAACTTGGGTTACAAGGTGAAATCCAATGCAGAATTAGTTTTAACATTACCTGTAACCTCACAAACTAACACTGAGTGAGTGTGTGTGTGAGTGTGTGTGTTGCCTGCATGTTGAGTGTGTGTGTCTGTGTGTGTTGGGGGGGGGGTCCTTTAAGTTGTCTTTTTTTTTTATCTTACTCCTTCCAGTAAAAGAAAAGCCAGTGAGCAGGAACAAAGGTCGTGACGAACGCTGTGCAGACAGCTCATTAATCTGTTCCACAGTTTTCACTGTTAACGCTTCGCATCCGACTCTGATTCACTTCAAGGTGCAAGTGATGATCTGCTGCCTGCAGACCCCACTGTGACAATGCCTGAAGGTACGCTCCTATACTTATGTTATAACAATAATACACTTTATTTGTATAGTTCAGGGTTTACAACGTGCTTTTACAGGGTACAAACATCAAAAACAACCACAGCACCATCAGTAACAGGATATAAAACACTTTAAAACATAGCAGTAAATAAAAAGATAAAACAATAAAACCACAGAGAATAAAAGGTTAGATTTTTACCACAGTGTAGAAATACTCTACAGGCAAAAGACGTGCAAATCTAGCATCAAAACATAATTAAAGTACCAAAAGTAACAGTATTTATCATGCAGAATAATATATGTTATTATAATTAATGTGTTCCTCACTGTGATGCTGAAGATGGTGAAGGGGGAGCTAGTTTTAATTATTTATTGTATGTGTATATATATATGTGTGTATTGTGAATTTCCCCCCTGTGATCAATTAAGTTAAAAGTAAGTAATCAAATAAAAACAGTGGAGGAAATTGTTCAGTTTTATATCGGAGCATAAGTATAAAGTAGCAGAAAATAGAAATACAGAAGGACAAAACCTCAAATTAGTAGTTAAATACTGTTCATGAGACGTGTATCTGACATTTGGAGGTTGTAAAAGTGTGAAACACGTTACAAAGTCTCTGACGTCAAACAGAGGTGTTAATTCACTTCTGTGTGATTCTCCAACATGTTGATGTTTTCACAGTGAATGTATCACCACAGCTTCTGCATTCCCGTCCTCGATGTGATATCTGAGGTCTTTCTCTCAATTAAAATCTAAAAATAAATCCACATAAATGCTCTTTTAAAAGTTATTTGGTGCTTTCATCTGCTGGTATCAGAGATTCCTTCTAATTCAGGATCAATTTATTAATCAGAATAAAGAAAAAGTTTCTAATTGAGCTGAATAAGAAGAATATATTATGTATGTTTCATCTTTTTTATATGTAGGTTTGAAGCTTTATTGTCATAAAAAAAATAGAACAAAGTGTATAAAAGTAGAACTAAAGGAAGAAATAAAAAAGGAAAACTGAATTTTATCTGCAAAGATTAAATTATTAAAGTTAAATATTCAGCATTGTCCATTTATTGTTATTTTTTAACTGATTTACAATAAAATAGATTCATTTAAAAATGCTCTGATTTAGCCGCCTCTGAAGACTCAAGTAAAGTACATGTACCTCAAAATTGTACTTACATACAGTACAGTGCTTAAGTAAATGTACTTAGTTACATTCCACTTTATGCTAAATTTGTATTTTTACTGCAACTTTATATTGGTTAAAAAACATCCG